CTAACCAAAAGGCTCCTTTCATGTGTACACATACATGTATATGTGTATGTATACACATGCACAAACATACACACATATTTTATACCTACTGTGATCATTAAGGCTGTGTGTCAACTTGGCTGGGCCATGATTCTCAGTGGTTTGGCGGTTATGATGTAGTTTGGAAGTTGTATAATGGTGTAATGACCTCCATGATGAGATCTGATATAATGTGATCACCTCCATGATGGGATCTGTTGTGAGCAGCCAATCACCTAAAAGGGGATTTCCTTGGGGGTATAGCCTGTATCCAATATAGGTGGGCTCTCACTCACTCTGGATTCTGCAGCTGGTTCCTGTTTGTCTGACCTCTTGGAAACCCTATGAGGCAGTGCTTAAACTGGTAGCCTGCCTGCCAGTCATGGGATTAGTTGGTCTCCGCAGCCTGTGAGCCAGAGCTCTGCTGTCTGACCTGCCGATCTTGGGTTCGCCAGGCCCTGCAGCTAGTGAGTCAGTAGAAGCCTCCAGCCTGACCAGGGACTTGCAACTTTCCAGCCTCTACAGCTGTGTGAGTCATTTTCTTGATTTCTCTCTATATACGTATTTATACACTTTACTGGTTTTGCTTCTCTAGATAACCCAGCCTAAGACACCTATTTTATGTATATTATATTTCATACCTATTTTATACATTGTTGTTGTTGGGTGCCATCAAAGCATATTTAAACTTATAGTGACCCCATGTGACAGAGTAGAACTACCCCATAGGGTTTTCTAGGTTGTAATCTTTAAGGAAGCAGACTGTCAGGTCTTTCTCTTGGGTGGGTTCACTGCCAACCTTTCAGTTAGCAGTCGAGCGCTTAATCATTGGGCCACCAGGGCTCCTTTAATATCTATATATGTAAAGAATGTCAAGAAACCTTTAGGATTATCATGTCCAAGACTCTCATTTTTCAGATGATGAAACTGGAGGTCAGATGAGTTTACCTGGCACATGCCACATAACTGTTGGAGGCAGAGCTAAGAAACCCTGATAATTGTATTTGCTCTTTTATAAGCATTACATTATTCACAAAGGGCTACCACAGACATTATTTTTTTTGACTCTCACCAAAGCCAGATGTTTCCACAGATGAGAAAAGTGAGGCTCCAAGAGGCTGAATGATTGCCTAATTACCCAGTTGTTATGGATTGTGTCCCCCAGAAATGTCTGTCAACTTGGCTAGGCCTGTCCACCATTTTGTCATCTGATGTGATTTTCCTATGTGTAGTAAATCCTGCCTCTATGATGTTAATGAGGCAGAACTCAATCTGCATGATTGGGTTGTATTTTGAGTCAATCCCTTTTGAGATATAAAAGAGAGAAGTGAGCAGAGAGATGGGGGGCCTCATTACCACCAAGCAAGAAGAGCCAGGGGCATGCGTTCTCTGGACCCAGGGTCCCTGTGCTGAGAAGCTCCTAGACCAGGTGAAGATTGATGACAAGGACCTTCCCCTAGAACCAACAGAGAGAGCGAGCCTTCCCCTGGAGCTGGCACCATGAATTCAGACTTCTAGCCTCCTAAACTATGAGAAAAAATTTATCTTTGTCAAAGCCATCCATTTGTGGTATTTCTGTTACAGCAACACTAGTTAACTAAGACACCAGTTAATAACTCTAAATCCCAAATCCCATGCCCTTCGCAACACACCACACTGCTGCCCAAACCCTTCCTGACAATCTAGGTGGTTGGATATTTGACTCTGGTTCCCCGGCCGCCAAGTACAGTGCTTGACAATCAGCAGGTGCTCAAAAATTGGCTGAATGACTAAATACTCAATAACTTGAAGAAAGGTAAGCAAATTGTATTTAATCACCAAAATGCCACAAGGCTCTTAAGACAGAAGATGTTGAGTGAAAATCCATATTACATGAAAAGGCAGAAGCTCACATAACAGATTCACAGACTTCGTAGGCCTGAAATAGGCTTCCTTCCCTTAGGCCTCAATTACCCAGAGCTGCCTGACCAGACCACTTGCCTCCAATCTCTTCCCAACTCTTCTCAGTCACCATCTCAGGAACCTACAGGGGCTCTGGCTTCTTCACCCTGGCCTTCCAGGCCCTGCCATCTGACAGAATTCGGCTGTCTCCTGAATAATTCACTCCCCCTGGCCTTTGCTAGGCTCCTCCCCCTACTCCACAGAAGCTCATCTCCTTCTCATGGTAGGCTCCCAGTGAATGGTGGTTCCCTTTCTTCACTTCTATCAACCCCAGGTAACCAGGGCAGAGGCTAACTATTGAAAAGTAAATAAGTAACATGAAAGTGGATTCACATGACATTCATTTGGAAAAAAAAAAAAACGTGATCACCAAGATCACTAGAAACCGGCAGAATCACACGGAGCCCCATATCCAGGAGCCTCTGATTTGGGTTTTTCTGGCATGGAAGCTTATATGACCTGTCCAGTCCCTTTTCTGGCCTAAGGAGCCTTGAGTTCCTGGGACTCCTTCTAAAACTGCCCCCTGGAGCAGCCACTTGAGGCTGGGCTTTGAAGGCCACACCTACCACTCCTCTCCCTCCTAGCCCCACCCTAGACCTTTCCAAAGGAGTCAGGACCCTAGGTTCCTTATTAAGCAAGTCCCTTCTCTAAAGGACCTAGTTTCTTCATATGTAAAAAGGGGGGGGGGAGTAGCAGAATTGGATGACAGAAAAATTACAATAATAAAAACATTTCCCCAGTTGCAAAAGGTTTTCCCATCAAAGTTCTCATCAGATAATGTTCAAAGCCCCTTCTAGCTGGAACACTGTAAACTCATTATAAATAACCTCGGCCATCCTCTGAGGTTAGCGTGCACAGACTTACCGCATTAGGAGATTCCACTGCACCGAGGTACCAGAGTTGCTTAAACCAGTCAGCTCCCTATGAGGAGCATTTAGTTGTTTGCAATTTTCCACCAGAATGAACAGTGCTGCGAAGAAAAATCTTGCATAAGTATTTATTTTTGTTGTGTGGTTTTTTTCTTAAGATAGATTCCTAGAAGTGGAATTACTGGCTTAGAGAATGCATACATTTTAAATTCTCTTCTTGTTAGTTAAGAAATTTTACAGGGTAATTCTCAAACCCTAATTGTATTTCGGCTTTACCTGGGGAATTTGTTTACACACCACCAGCCTTCCTCCCCAGCCCCAGGTTCCCCTCCAGAAAGTCTGGGGAGGGGCCCCTGAAGCTGCTTTGTTATCCAGCTCCCAGGTAGCGGTGGCTCTGCTGCAGGCTGAAGAGAGGAAGGAGTCTCTCCCTTACATTTACCCAAAGGCACCTGACCTAGCACAATACTTGGGAAGCACTGGCCTAAGAGACTGCCGCTGGCCGAATCTGTGGGTTGGTCTCTGGGTTCCAGCCCCAGGTCCCCACTTGCCTCCCCAAAATGGGCCAAGTCAAGTGCACATGGACTCCAGCACAATGCCTGGCACAGAATTCAAGCTCAGCAGCTGGTGAAGAAGTCACAGCTTCAGGCACACCGGCTGCACCCCTATTTTTTCCTTTAGGCCTCCCCTTCTGCAGGTCCCTCCTCCACACGGGCTGTGACCCTAGTGGCCAGGGACCAGTTGGTTTTACCTTTCTTACGTAAGACTCCCTGAGCTTTCTTTTTTTTTCTCCAGAGAAATTTCTCACTACTCTGCCAAGAAATTGTTTGGGGCTTCCACTCTGGGCCTCAGTTTCCCCATTTGTAAAATGGAGAGCGCTGGACAGTGTCAGTGACACTTGGGTGCTGCTGTGAGGAGAGCAGTGTGGCCAACTAGGTTCTAAGAGTTTGCAGACAAGTCTGGCCTCCACAGGAGTCCAGGTGCCCCTTAACAGTCATCTAATCGGTGTTCTGATTGGCTTAGGGCCTGTTTGGAGATAACTAAATATTGGTTCCCAGAGTTCCCCATTGCTAAAGTGCCATTAACCCCAAAAGTCATTTTCAAGCTGTTGATTTCCAAGCTCATGGGCCCAAGATGTCTGGGCCCAGAGTGAGGCCCAGAAAAGGCTTTGCCCCATTTGAGCTAGACTCTATGGGAGCTGAGAGCACAGGAGAGCTGGCAGCGGGTGGGGAAGACCAAGGGAAACATCCTGGAGTTGGGCGTTTTGGGCAGAGGAGGAAAAAGAACCCAGCCAGGGCAGCTGGGAGATGCTAGACTGATCCATCTGCCTCCTTCAAGGACCAAGGACCAGTCACAATGGGACTCAGGGCTTGGCTGTTAGACCCGGGATGTATGACACTCGTTGGCTGTGTGACAAAAGACAAGTCAAGCAACCTCTCTGCGACTCACCGGTAAGCCAGTGATTTACATAGAACAGCACCACCCCATAACTCGAGGATTGAACGGGATGCTACAAACGAAGTACGGTACCTCCCTTAGCGCCGCTGCGTTGAAAACACCCAAGTGTTGGCTGGTATTACCTCGGGCCGCCCCCTGTGTGCTAGACCCTGGGCTAGGTGCTTAGGGGTCACTTCCCGTCCCAGCCTTTCTTCCCGACTCTACGGGCCTCTAAAGGCAGAAACGGCATTTCACTCTGAACCCGGTCCCTTACCAGCTGGGTTTAAATCACAGACTAATTGGGCCTCAGCTTCCTCTCGGTGCAATGGGAACAGTAATACAGCCCACAGGAGACCTTGACGGTAGGAGCGAACTCACAAACGTCGGGATTTGCCCGATTTCTCCTCTGAGCAAGCACCCCTAACCGCAGCGTGGAGTACACAGTAGGCGCTCCGGAAATGCTCCGCGAAAGGAGGCGCGGGTCCACTTCCTGCCCCCAAGCGAACTATCCCAAGTCGGGCTCCCACCACTCCTCCTCGGTGGCCATGTGGCATTCCTGAGGGTGGGGGTGGGCGCAGGAAGATGGTGCCCTAGCGGCCCCGCCCCCAACCGGGCGCGATGGGCGGGGCGAAGCCCCTCCGCGCCGTCGGTCCGCCCCGTGGGGGGGTGGGCGTAGCTCGCGGCGCTCCGCACAAAGTTTGTTTTCTCCCTCCGGGCCGGTGGGGGAGGGCGCCAGAGCGTGCAGGGGAGGAGAGGGGATCTGACGTCAGGCCGCGAGGTGCTTTCCAGCCCGGAGCTGTCAGGCCGAGTGTCAGGCTGAGCAGGTACGCGGCGCGATCCCCCGGGCCCCCAGCCCCCTGCCAGGCCGCCCGGACCGAGCCCGAGGCCTCGTGGACCGGAAAGCCGCTCGGAAAAGTCAGTGCGGGGCGCAGGGGAGGGGAGAGGGGCGCGCGGACAACTTGGAAAGTTTCTTTTTCTCAGTCAGGCGGGGGAGGGGGCGTCGTCCCGGCGTGTGCGATTGTGGGTGTGTGAGCTCGAGTGTGTTTGTGAATTCCGACTGCGCTGTGGGGCCGGGTGGTGGCTGGCCCCCGGGGGAAGCTCGCTCGAGGCCCTTTTGGGGGGCCCAGTTCCCCAGGATCCCACCCCCGGAGAGGGCCGCCCTGGCCGGGGTGAGCGCGGGGGGCGGGTTTGTTTGGTTTCAAAAGTGCACGTTGCTAACCGCCGGCTGGGCCCCCCCGGCGGCCGCGTCGGGGAGGGGGCCGCAGAGAGTGACAGCTGGGTGGGGGCCGCGAGCAGGGCCCGGAGCGGGGGCGCTGGGGAGCCCGCGCGAGTTCCCCTTTCCTTTGAAACAAAGGAAAGTCTGTCTGCGAGGCATCTGTCACTCCCAGGCGGGCCAAGGGAACGGGGCGCGTGGGGCCAGCGACCTAGAGAAACTTTGTGCGCGCTGGGACCCTCGGGCAGGCTGAGCGTGAGCCGAGCCTCTGGCGAGGCCAGAGAGCAGTCCCCGGGGCCGGGGGCGGCCAACATGGAGTCTGGGCGCAGGGCTGGGGGGCGGCGCGGAGGTGGGAGCCTAGCCCCTCCCCTCCCCCTCTGGGCCGAGTTCGGCGCACAAAGCCAAGCGCGCACGCTCGGCCAGCCCCGCGCCCCGAAGTCAGTCAGCGCCGAGCGCCGGGGAAGGGGGTGGGAACCAAACTTTTTCCTGCCCTAGGACAGACACGTGAGTTTTCTTTCTTCTAGAGCCCCCGCCCCTCCGGGATTGCGGGCCCGCGGGGGAGCTGGGGCACGGGTCTGGTCAAGGTTGAGGGCCCGGGGGTGCCGGCGCCCCGAGCGCAGGCGGACTCCCCGCCGCCCGGGGAGCCATGTGCTCCGACTCCGTCCGGCCGCGGGGGAGGCTGCGCGCTTTGTGTGAACTGCTGGGAATGTGAGCGCGAGCGCGCGGCCGGGAGGAGTGTCGGGGCCCAGCCGGGGGAGTTGTCAGAAAGTTCGTGCGGGAGTGGCTGCAGGCCGGCGTCGTGGGAGTGTGTAGGAGGGTGCACAGGGTGTTGTGGTGAGAGGGTGCTGCCGCAGGCCAGTGAGGGTAAGAACCGACCGCTAGTGTGATGACGTCTGGCGTTCTCCCTGTCCGAGAGATCGTGGGTGGGCAGGTCGGTTGAAGTTTGTGGGTGGGCGGATATCCAGGAATTGTGTTAGTTGCGTGGGGCACAGTTGTTCGTGCGAGGTGTGGGATTTGCAAGTTGTGTGTGCTGTGTGTGTCGGTAAAAATCATCGGCGTTGCAGGGCTTGAGCGGTGGGTGGGTGAAAGTTCTCTGAAGCGCTGTTGCATTTGTTGAGGGTGTGTGTGTGTTTGGCTGCGAGTGTGGGGTGTATATGTGGGGACCTGCCCGGACTGTAGGCGGGCTGGCGTGCAGGACACCATGGTGGAGAGTTTGTGTAGACTGAGGGGTCATCCCCGCAGCCTGCCGGAGGAATCCTGCAGACTGGGACTTGGCTGGCAGCCAGGGTGGAATCTGTACAGATAACCTTGAGTAAACTTCTCACAGCCTGCCAGGGATACATCCTGGAGCTCCGATCCCAGCTGTCCTAGCTGCCTCTGAAAGCAGCGTGCTGTTGGTGCTCTCTGAGGAGTGGCACCTATAACCAGCGTCCATCTCACCTCCAGGTGGCCTGACTGGGAGCGTAGACCCTTCCCTCGAAAGTCTGGCCAGCCGGCTCAGCGATCTGGGCTCTGGCCCAAGTAGAGGAGACAAAACCTGGGAGATGCCAGAGTCTGGCTGGGGAGCTGTTAAAAGGCTGAGGAGGGAGGAGCCTGGAGATTCTGGCATCAGTGTGGCCTGGAACTTTTGCTTTTAGAATGTAAATATATTTTGCATGTGTAGACAGGAACTTTGTTGGGGGATGAGCAGATGGGCTGGGTTGTCTAGCTTTCTTTATTTGACAGGTGAAGGGGGAGGCTTAAACCCAGAGAAGGGAGAAGACTTGCCCTGGGTCACACAGCCAAGTGGAGGGATGGTAGGGCAGGAACTAGGTGACAAAGGAAAATGCCTGGGAAACATCAGTAGGGATGACTTGCTACTCTTTCTGCAGAGCACACAGTAGGTTCTCAGTAAATGTTGCATGGATTGTTGCAGGGCCATGGTGATCTGTCGAGTTTCCAGACTCCTTAGGAGACCTGGGAGGCAAAATGGTGTAGAGCCCAGCCTCTGGGGACAAACTGCCTGCATCCAAATCCTACTTTACTACCATATCCCGAGGAAACCCTGGTGGCGGAGTAGTTAAGAGCTACGGCTGCTAACCAAAAGGTCAGCAGTTTGAATCCACCAGGCGCTCCTTGGAAACCGTATGGAGCAGTTCTACCCTGTACTGTAGGGTCCCCCTCTAAGAATCGACTTGACGGCAATGGGTTTACCATATCCTGGCAGTAGGATTTTTTTTCTTTTTTAAATAAAAACTTGATTGAGATATAATTCACACATTATACAATTCATCCAAAGTGTATAATTCAGTGGTTTTTAGTATATTCACAGATATGTGCACCACACAGTCGATTTTAGAACATTTTTCTTACCTCACAGAGAAACCCAGCCCCTTTAGCTAGTATGCGCTTATCTTTCTTTCCTCGGCAGCACTGGCCCCCAGCCCTAAGCAACCACTTATCTGTTTCCTATCCCTATAGATTTCCCTATTCTGAACATCTTATATAATGGAATCATACAATATGTAGTCTTTTGTGACTGGCTTCTTTAACTTAGCATAATGTTTTCAAGGTTCATCCATGTTGTAGCATGTACAGTACTTTATTCTGTGTGTGTGTATGAGATAAAATATAACTCCATTCCTTTTTATGACCAAGTAATATTCCATTATGTGGATATCCTGGCAACGCCATGTGTGTAGAGTAGAACTACATTCAAAGGTTTTCAAAGGGGCTATGACCTTTCAGAAGCCGATTGCTGGGTCTTTCTTCCAAGGCACCTCTGGGTGGGTTTGAACTACATATCTTTTGGTTAGTAATCAAGTGCTTAACCTTATGCGACACCGACATTAGGTCGCCATGAATCAGAATCGATTCCACAGCAACTGGTTTGGGGTTATTTGGTTATATGGCATTACCACATTTTATATAGCAGTTCATCAGTTGATGGACGTTTGAATTGTTTACACTTTTTGGTTATTATGAAGAATGTTGTTATGAACATTCGTGTACAAGGTTTTATGTGGACGTATATTGTCATTTCTCTCATGCATGTACCTAGTGGTGGAATTGCTGGATCATATGGTAACTGTTTAACAGCGGTTGGATCTTGGACACTTTCTTAGTCTCTCTGGGCCTTGATTTCCTCATCTATGAAATGATAGTAAGAGATTCTTCCTCACGAGGGCTTTGTGAGAATTAAATGAGATCATAAATGTAGCGTGCTCAGTTCAGAGTCTGGAGAACAGTAGACGTCAGTGGTAGCTGTAATTATTTCTAGTCCTGGTTCTGCTTCTTAGTGAGCTGCCAGTCATTTCAGTAGTTGGCTACCTGCTCTTTGGAATGGGGGGGTTTTGAAATCAGCCCTTTTAGCTTGCCCAAGCTGTGGTTTGAATCGTGCCTTCCCCATTTCTGTGTCCCAGGCTCTAGTAATGGGGTGTGTGTCTGGAAACCAGGAAAAGAATGAGAGGCTGTGCTTGGTACTGATGTCCCCATCCCCTGTGTCGCTTGCCCCAGGCTTGCTTGAGGCCCAGCCTAGCTGCTAGACACCTCTACCATGTCGGACAGTGATCTGGGTGAGGACGAAGGCCTCCTCTCCCTGGCTGGCAAGAGGAAGCGGAGAGGGAACCTGCCCAAGGAGTCTGTGAAGATCCTCCGCGACTGGCTGTACTTGCACCGCTACAACGCCTACCCCTCAGAGCAGGAGAAGCTGAGTCTTTCTGGACAGACCAACCTGTCGGTGCTGCAGGTAAGGAGGGGATTTGGGCAAGGGAGTGATGGGACCTTGGTTCTAGTCCTGGCCCAGCCCTGTTACTAACTCACTGTGTAGCCTTGGGCCAGTCACTTCCCTTCTCTGGGCCTCAGTTTCTTCTTGGGTCAGATGAGAACACCCAGCCTGCCTGCCTCAAGGGAAGACAAAATGAAATGAGGTCGTGGCAGGTGGATTTCAGACTCTAGAATTCTGAAGAGGGAAGGAATCATTATTAATGCTGAGGTGTCCACATTAACCTTGGAGGCAGGTGGAGTCCTTGGGAAGGTGAGAAGATATTGAATGTCTGGGATTCAATCCCCAGCCTCAGAGACATGTTTGGGTAGGGCCTTGGTTGCAGTGGGTGGGTGGCGTGCTTAAGGAATGAGTTGGTCTTCAGACAGGGATTGGACTGGATTGTGGGACATAAAGTGATACTCGTGAAGAGTGTGCCTCTTAGTCAAGTAGATACAAGAGACCAAAGGGGCAGCTTCTGTCTGGAGGTGAGATGGGAAGGCAGAGAGAGTTAGGAGCTGGTTGAATGGTCATGGGGAATCAGGGGCGGAAAGGAGGAGTGTGCTGTCGCAGAATGGGGTGAGCAGTTAGGGTCTCATAACAATGTATGTAAAAAAAATTTTGTATGGGAGACTGACTAACTTGAAATGTAAACTTCATTGAATTACAACAATTTAAAAAAAAAAAGAAATGAGTTGGAATCACATCAAGGAAAGGGCAGAAGTCAGGGGCAGTGGGTGGAAAATGCCATTCTGCCACATAGGAGCTGTGGGCTAGGTCTTGATTTCCGCATCTTTAAAGTAGGGGTTAGAATCATTCCCTTCCTGACAGGATTGTTGCGAGGAATAGATTCAGGACTGGCTGTGAAAGTGCTTTGTAAACCGTGCACACGGGCTTGCTCAAAAGATAGTCTTAGCACCTTTCGTCTGGACCATTGCCTTGCCTCCAATTTGTCTGTTACCTACCTGAGAGGCACCAGAGGCCCACCCTCTGCCCACTGGCCCACTGCTCCCCTTCGTGAGCCAACCAAGCCTCTCCCCCAAACCCTTTGCTTCTTTTCCACCTCCGTCGTTTCATGGCCCATTATTCCACGCTACAGTGTTCTCTCTCCTTCATCCCCTTATCCCAACTCCAGAGCTCCCACATCTTCCAATACCAACTCCTGTCCCTCCTCCACGAATCCTCACGGTGAGTATTTGGCCCTTGGAATTTCTGTCTCTTGACTTGCTGGGCAGTGGGTAAAATAGTCTGTCTGTGAGAAAAGCTCTACAGTCACAGACTTTGACTCTGGTCCCATCTTCTCCACAAGAGGAAACTTGAACATTGGCCAAGTCACTGGAGCCTCTCTTTCCTCATCTGAACAAGGGAGATGATTGTAGCACTTTCATGGGGTGTAAGGAAGAGTTTGGGGCTCACACAGTGGGTATTTCTACTCCCTTATTCTGGTCCTTCATCTCTCCTCCTAGGTCATAAGGTCTAGGTAGACCCAAGGTGTCTAGCATTCCATAGATATACCTCCTGAGCACTCCCACTGTTGCTTTGTGCTGGACAGGGTTGGAGTCCCAGAGAGGGATCAGACACATTCCTACTCTGAAGGAGTATCTCACTTGGGGTGGGGGTGGTGGAGCTGACCTAGGCACTGATGTTTACAGAAAGTGATCACTGCTGGGATAGAAGGCAGTGAAAACCCAGGTAGAGTTCTGAGCCAGCCTAGAGCCTGAGAGCCAGGATTGCCTACATCTACAGCCTCTTTGCTGGTCTCGCTGCATCCAGCCTTGTTCTTACAGTCCATTCTCTTGGACACTAAAGTGCTGATCTGATTATGTCACATACTCCGCAGACCTCACTTTCCTTGGGATAGAGTCTAAACTCTAGGAGCTTACCAGCCTCATCAGTCACTTCCTCGAAGGCCTTGGGTCCTTGAATTCCTGGCCTTCAGGCCTTCTCCCATGGCTCTGAACAACCAGCTACAGCCCTGACCTTTCCTTACGTGACTCCGTTTAAGCATCTGTTTCTCATGAAAGAGTTCTCTGACCCCCAGCCTAGGTTTTAGACCACTACTGATATTACCGGTGTGCCTCACACCTGTCAAACCATTTGTCACATTGTACTGGAATTGCTCTTAGCCAGGGAGACTGTTTCTCAGATCTGAGTAATGTACCAACTCCTTTTAAAGAATTATATTTTTCATGAGCCCTCCTCCCTTCAATGTATTAACTTGAATCATTTTTATTATCACATCACTTAAGTATGTACAAACATAAAACTGGTTAAAAAAAACTTATTTTTTGCTCCCATATTAAAAAAAAAAAAAAAAAAGCAACTCACAGCCGTCAAGTTGATTCTAACTATAGTGACCCTATAGGACAGAGTAGAACTGCCCCATAGAGTTTCCAAGGCTGTAAATATTTACAGAAGTAGACTGCCACATCTTTCTCCCAAGGATCGGCTGGTGGGTTCGAACCACTGACCTTTCAGTTAGCAGTCAAGTGCTTTAATCACTGCACCACCAGGACTCCTTGCTCTCATACACAACTATAAAAGCAAACAGTTTTACTAAGTAAATAAATATAAAACCAATGAAATTCCATCTAACTGCATTTAAAATGGCAGAGGGTACTTTGACTCTGAGCTGTGGTGTGTAGTGTGACAGAGATGCTAAATTTTGAGTTGAGTAAGTCTGTTGCTATAGGCCATGATGTTCCTTCTCCTGATCAAAATGAAAATACAAAGCCAAGACGTTCTTGTGGAGAACTAGTGGACTCCCTAGGACGTAACAGCCACAGATCCCACTTGGAGAAATGTAGGTCTAGGGCAAGGAGTAGCCATTGGAGGCCTCTGAGGAGGAACAGGCTGGGGTCCAGCATCCCCTGGTGGGAAGCGGCTGTAGCAGGGCCACCCTGCTAGAGTCATGAGGAAAGTTATGGAACAGTGGGACAGTCTGGCTCAGCCTAGATTAGAAACTCTACATTGAGTTCCAAATCCATCCCAGCCCACACATAGTTGTTTGGAGGCTTTGCAGACACCTCAGATTCCCTTATTGAGAACTAATAACTTCTCCAAGCTGACTTCTTTCTCAAGAGTTCTGCTTGATAGCCCCTGCTTGACAGTCCCTTCTCAACTCTTTCAGTCAGTCACTAATTCCTATACATTTTAGCCTTAAATATCCTGGAATATGGCATCTTTCCCTTCTTGGTCCCACCCATAATCATCTGATCACTTACCATTCTCTTACATAAAACCCTTCAATGGTTCCCACTGCCCTAATGACAACATCACCTGCCCTGTCTGCATCTTAGGCCTCATCCCTGGCCCTCCATGTTCCTGTCTCACTAGCTGCTGTCACTGGACCACTTTCCTCCCACCTCTGACTGGCCAAGTCAGTGCCTCCTGACCACTAGAAGAGAGCTGTATTTGCTTATTTACGTCACACTAAACTCGAGAGCTATCATCAGTCTGTCAGTTTGTCCTATTGTGGTGTCTTGCATGTTGTTACGATGCTAGAAGCTATGCCACTGGTATTTCAAATAGCAACAGGGTCATCCATGGTGGACAGGTTTCATCAGAGCTTCAAGCTAAGACAGACTAGGAGGAAAGGCCTGGTGATCTACTTCTGAAAATTAGCCAAAGGAAACCTTATGGATAACAACAAAATATTTTCCGATATAATGCTAGAAGGTGAGCCCTCTAGATTGGGAGACACTCAAAGTATGCACTGGAAGCATACCAGTGATCTTGAAGATGGCACAGGACTGGGCAACATTTTGGAGACCAGAGAAGAATTGATGCATTTGAATTGTGTTGAAGAAGAATATTGAATGTACCACGGACTGCCAGAAGAATGAACAAATCTGTCTTGGAGGAAGTATAGCCATAATGCTCCTTAGAAGCGAGGATGGTGAGACTTTGTCTCACATACTTTGGACATGTCATCAGGAGGGACCAATCACTGGAGAAAGACATCATGCTTGGTATAGTAGAGGGTTAGTGAAAAAGAGGGAAGACCTTCAATGGGATGGATTGACATGGTGGCTACAATGGGCTCAAACATAACATTTGTATGAGGATGACGGTAGGACAAGGCAACGTTTACTTCTGTTATACATGAGGTCGCTATGAGTCAGTAGTCAACTCCATGGCACCTAACAACAGCAACAGTACATGGGATGGCCATGAGTTGGAGATGACTCGGCAACTAATAACAAACTCTAGACAGGGACTTTGTCCTATTTATCGCTGTATCTGGTAAAAAAAAAAAACAAAAAAAAACAAAACAAAAACCTGTTACTGGCATGTCGATTCCCTCTCATAGCCCTCTCATAGCGACCCTGTAGGTGATCAGTAAATGATTGTTGATTTGACAGGAAATTAAAGTGTTGGAAATATCAACAGGCAGGAGGACCTAGGAAGGAAATGTAGTAGCTCCTCAGTCAGGAAAAACTGATTAAGTCCCTGGAGGTATCTCTTTTTCATGTATTTAATTTTAAAGTTTAAACATCTTTTATTAAGGACAGTTTCAAATATCCACAAAAGAGAATATTATAATGAGCCCCGGTACCAACCACCTGGCTTCAACAAGCATCAACACTTTGCCAAGCTTGTTTTATCTCTCCCTGGGGGCATCTCTTTTGTTTGTCTTTTTTAAACTCGCCCAGGAGCACTCATTAGCAAGTCAATGAGTCATTTAAGTAACTGGTTTGCTGGTACTTGCCAGAGGCTAGGCAGTTGGGAGGGTAAGGGGAAAAAAAAGTCTTTTGTGAAGGATTTTCACAGGTTCCTGGGACACCGTCTAATCCCGCTAGGTTGGACTGGATCTGTGGTTTTCAAATTCTTCTGGGGGCTACCTCTTGTGGAGGGGAGGTCAGCATGGCAGGTAGGGTTCTGGTTCCCATTCCTTCGTTCTGTAATAGTGTTGGGGGTGTACTACGTGCCAGGCCTGGTGCTGTGTGTGGGACACAGTAGAAGAGAGAACAGGCGCCATCCCT